ATTATTATTTGCATCCATTGATTCTAATCCAGCAACGTTTCATCTTGCATGATCTTCAATGAACTCAACACCAATATTTTCATCATTCGTACAATTGTATATTTGTTGTGAGTATTTCAATTTCAGGTTAACTACAACTATCCCCTGAATCAGTACTACCACTATCCATAGTTTTGTATGAATCTACGTCGTTGTTATCCATATCATCTCCGTGTAACGAAACATTTTCGTTTTGCTCTGATTGAGGCATGAATGAGGAAGAGACTAGGTTTTCTTCATATATATTACTACGTGGTCTAAACCAACGTGGACGATCGGTCACATTGGTACGTGAAGGCAGATGTTGCTGCATGAAATTTGGTCGCTCTGAAAAACTCAGTTGGCCATGAAAGTTGTTTTGCATTTCAATCGTATTTACTCCGCCTTACCACGTGTTAGGACTACTTCAAAAAGATTTAATTATGCTTAATTTTTAAATAAAGAATTTAATCACTACAACATAATATAATGAAGTTCTAAATACTTACATATGTATCTCCGTTGACGGACCAGGAACGTCACAATGATTGATTTGTTCTGCCTTAACGTAAACAACGACATGATCAATTCTTGCTTCTAATAACATAAACTCACAAACCTCATCATCGGTTACATGTGTTGCGCAGTAGCAACCATTATTTCGAAGTCGACATGTTAGGTTGACAGTATTTGTTGCAGAATTAATCCTAAGCGCACCCATAATTCTGTCTTTAACATTGTAAGAGAAATATCATAATCAACGATGATTGGCCGATTTTTTCCACCAATATATGTCGCTGTGAACTCATCCCCGATACGAAGCTCACCACCGAAAAATACATTCTGTCCTAAATAACACAAATTTGAGGGTCAATCCCAAGAATGTCATATTTCGCTAAAGTTTTTTACTTAACATACTACTCATAATGTAACGAGAGTAAATGCATTTTAAAGCGTAACAATGTACTTACAGATGTATTCCTACCGATGAAGTCAAACTAATAAATTGTTGAATTCAATCGCAATAATGTATTCAGTTCATAACATGAAACTTATATCACTTTATTTTTTGGTCTAACATATCCACCCTATACTGCAACGTCTTGCATGATTTGGGTAGTAACTAATGCATCAATAGATTTTGTTTGTTTTATTAAAATTAATTAAAAAAATTTAATATATTCATATGTTGAAATTGAATTAAAATACATGCCTTAGTTCTTTTTTAAGATATGTAGGAATTTCATGGATGTACACCTAAGCATTAAACATAACGTTAATTCCACATTTAAAAGAGTAGTAAATATTCTTTTAATCCTTACGCGTAAATTGAATATTTCTTATATTTTTTTATTATGAAAAAAATATAAATTTATCTTCATGACTAAAAAATAGGTAAACATTTTCTCTCCTTAAGGATGATTTTAATATTCCCGATGTAGTTTTAGTATGAAAGTCAATTCAGTAATTTTGTTTCATTATTGAAATGATAGTTGAATATTCCTTTTATTCATTATGGATGAATAATAAAATTTTAATGTACTTTTGATTTTAAAAATAATTCAAAATTTCATTATTAAAACATAGGTAAATTTTATTTATTCCCCTTAGGGGTGAGCTTAATACTTCTTATTATGTATTTAAACTTGAAAATAAATTGAGGTTTTCTCTTCTCAATTTGGTAGTTAAAATTTAGTCTAAGGTACTAGATTGAAGGATTTAGGTTAATCTACTATTTCTGTACTTCTTATTATGTTTTTAAACTTGAAAATAAATTGAGATTTCCTCTTCCCAAAATGATAGTTAAATTTAAGTCTAACGTACTAGATTGAAGGATTCAGTTCAATCTAAACTTAATTTAACAAATTTTTTTGCACTTCTAGTAATTCTCCTAAAGGATTTTAATATTTAATAAATAAAATATAATTACATACAAGATGACAAATTTTATTTGTAAACATAAATAAGTTTATATAATTTTATTTTAAAAAAATTTTATCGGGTAAAAATTTAATTCTAACAATTATTTAATTCTAACAAATTTAATTCTAACAATTATAACGTTTAAATATTTTAAATATAATTATAATTATTTAACTTAAAAATTTTTTTGAAAAAAAATATTCCCATCATCTTTATAAGGCTATGAATTTTTAAATGACAAGTAAATGAATCTTGTGAGGAGAAGGTTGGTTTCCACATTAAAAGCAATTTTTTAAATTCGTCATAGATTCTTATATACTTGCATGAAATTATTTGTGTTATTTCTTAAGGATCATGTCAAATATAAAATGTGGACTTTTATTAAAGAATCATATATGGATTAAATCTAAGGAGCTATAATCAATCTCTAAAATACAAACTAAACATTATTACAATTTCACCTTCCGTACTCAAAGAAGACTCTACACGAGATGCCAATAATTTCAACAGACTCTTACACCAACCAACTGACTAAGATGCCTCTCAAGACTAGTAAAATAACAGTTGGGTGCCTCTCTTTAGGAACAAAATTATTGAAATAACTACCTTTGATCAGTTCTATAAACGACAAAAAATGTCTAAAAGGCTTATGTCGTTATGAAATAACTTTTATTTAGGCTACTGTTAAAATTAACAAGTGGTGAATTTGGCGGTGTACGAAATAATTTTTTTAAAAAATATTACATAGTTATAAATCTTTGGAAAATAAACTACAAGCAACACTTCACAAAACATTGATATATTTATTTCTACATACCATACCAAACAACAAAATGTGCTAAAAAAATTACAATACACCAATTTTATTTTAAATAAAATAAACAATTGCTAAAAAAATTATACAACTCACTGCTAAAACAATAACTAACAATATTGCAACAAAAAAATATATCTCACAAAACTGCGGCAAGCCCAAAACTACTACATAATACAATTTTTTTTTAAATAAATGGCCACAAAATTTACATCTTCACCAAAACAACTTTAACAGAAAATAAAATGAAAAAAAAGACATAACTCACCTCTCTCTCGGATGAACACAGCAGCAGCAAACGAAGAAAAGGAAGTTAGGAGGCTTGTGATTTCCGTTCAGCTGTGCTGCTCGCGTATTTATAACGAAAATTTGCATGGCATCTTCACAACTTTCTCAACGTCCAACCACCAGCAATTATTTGCATCTTCATTTCCGCACCGGTCCGCGGAATTCGCGGATCTAGTTGCCGCTGAACTCCAAAAACACCAATCAACTGACAGCCACCGAAGAAAAGACGGGAAGAATGCATCGATTAGGTTGGCGCATTCTTTAGAATGCGCGGAACAAAACAACGCATTCTCACTACGCAATTTGGTTTAGCGAATTAGCTCTTATTTAAATTATTTCAGTGGTATGCTTTTTCCACGAAAATTCACTTGAATTATGTTGCTTTAAAAAATTTCGCCATTTATAAATTAACGGAATATGCCGGCTGATAACGCGTATTCCATGTCAAATTGAAGAATACGCCTAATAAAACGGCGCATTCAAAGAATGCGCCAACCAAAATGGCGCATTCTATGAATGCGCTTACCATTCTGGCGCATTTGATGCTTCTTAAATTTTTTATAAACCTGCTCGTTCCATTAAATGACACATAAAAGAAGCTTGTTTCCAAAATTTCGCCTATTTTTCATTCTTTCCTGTATTTATGGTCATGTACGCAGTATGCCAATTATATGTACCCAATTATTTTTCATTTGATAATTGTTCACAGGACCTGATAATAATTTTTCTAGCATGTAAGCTCTTGTACAAGAAAATATCATAAAGAGCTAATGGAAATACATATCATAAAATCATTAAAGAGGGGCCATGCTAACAACTAACTCACCATGGAAAATAAATCTTATATCCTTGACTTCAAAATAAATGATAGAAAAATAACAGCATATAGAATATTCATCTTTAATTCTTTTGAAATTAGTAACAATTACATTTATGGAATTCATTAACATGTTCACCTACTCAAAGCATTAACATCTTCATTTTAAGCTCGAACTCCAGAATGCTGTTTCAGCACAAAGCTATCCTTAAGCAAAAATACAATATATTTAGCATGTTGTGAGTTATGTTAAAGATACTTGAGAGTTTGCCTCAATGACCTTACTCAAATCTGGTAACTTTTAAGGACTGGTCTTTGGGTTTTTTTTTTTTTCTTTTTTTCTATATGGAATGCTATTATAGCAGTTAGCCCCATAGAATTTTTTTTCTTGTTTCAGGATATCAGTTAGTGGTGCAGTAATTGAACTAAATGGTTTAATAAATGTTCTTTTAAACAATGCTACTCAATGGAAATTACAGACATCTGCAATTGACTTAGGTTTTGGCCAATCAAGGATTGCTTGATTTTAATAGCATCAGATTGTAATCCTTACACATAAACTGTAAAGCCTAGGAATAGTAATTGAGGTTGAAAGGTAAACTTCTTAGTATTGGCAAATGATTTCTTAGCTTGATGCATCTCTGAAACTATATTTGTGTGTCATTAATTAAGCCAATAAGAACTTTGGATGAACGGATCTATGACCTAGTGGTTTATTGGAGAAGGTTATTTTTTGAGGTCATGGGTTGAGCTATTTTCAGTGATTTTATTTTTAAGTTTGTAAAGTTCTTGAGTATATGTTGTAAACTATGAATGTATTTATTTCGAAGAAAATCTTTCATGTCTAATTATTTCGTATCACAAAGTCATTAATGAGTAAGGATTATCTATTTCAATGATGCGCAGTCAGTGCACTAAAGACTATCAGGAACAGTTTGAATGATCCAATCGGTAATCTTAATTCTTGGAACAATGGGGATCCATGCACATCAAATTGGAGTGGCATATTTTGCTATCTCACTGCAAATGATGGGTACCTACATGTGCAGCAATTGTATGATCTTGGTTCTTATTCTTTCTTTCTTTCTATAATTTTTATGTTGATCTTAAATGCATAAATTTTTGAACTTTTGGATTCCATGCCCCTTAATCATAATCAGTGGAAAATTTTTGCTTTATTATGAAGTTCTTAATGGTTTTTGGTTTTCCACGAATGATGCCAAGCAATATTTGTTCTTGAGATGAAATTCACCTAAATGCACGGTTTTAGTTGAGGAATTCATACAGTATGCGTTATCAGATGTTAATAAACATGGACTAATGTTATTTTCTTGCCAACGATTTATTTTGCATCTGCTTGGGTGTCGGGAGATGGATAAATACAGACTCCTACAGATTTGGCATCAAGAATTGTTAGGGTTGATGTCATCACCAATAGAAGCTTGTCACTATTTTGCTGTGTTTTTAAAATCGGACGGGATCATCCAGTTTGACCTGTTCAACCGTGAATAGTCCATTTGCTTATTTGATCAAGTTGGAACACCGGATTTGCATTGAACTGGTGTGAACCTGTTTGAACCACCGGTTCAACTGTTAAACTATCGAACTGGTTCCGATTTGATTGAACCGGTCGGTTCAATAAATATTATCTCTTATTTAAATAAAATTTCAAAATAATTTAAATATATATTTAAAGGCATATGCTTTATGCAAATAAATTTAATCAAAACATAAAGCTACTAGCTTGCAACATCATGCAACTTTATTTGTTGCTTATGGTTTATGCTTTACACCATATAAAAAGAATCACTTAAAATTCCCCTATGACGTGAGACTAAAAACATGTGAGAATTCTGCATGGGTTAAACTATCAAATTACTCGGGATGTAAATTTGGGTTGAGAATGCGTATAATTTATTAAAGTTAATAACACAGTTTTTTTCATATTATAAAACATATATATTATTTTAAATATTTTATTATTATTCTTATTAAAAATTAGATTTATATTTATACATTTATATTATTAAACTTTTTAATTTTAAGACCTATTTATTGACCCTTATAGCAGAATTAAAAAAAAAAGATGGAATAAAAAAAAAATGAAAGTGAAATTATCACATGTGTTGAAATCTCACTCAAATCCTACATGTATCCTGCTATAGTCCCATCCCGCCGCTGCTACAGTCGCTTCCTCCTCTGCAATTCGGTGTTGTTGGCACGTCCACTATTAACGAGCAATCCTTGAGATGGAAGTGGAGCCTTACGCTCTCTTACCGCTATTAGATCCCCACGCACGTGAATACCTCCTGCTGCAACCGACCCTTCTCTGCCATTCAGGTAAACTCCTCAAACCGGCAACCTCAAGACGCGCGACTTCTCTTCTTCGTCTCTTCTGCACATGTAAGCTTCTATTACGACCTCCAAAATGAATCCCTCTGACCTTCTTCCATGCGAGCTAGCTTCCTCCACGACTCCAATTCTATCGCACCCATGCTCCAGGCCGTCGAACCCGTTATCCACGCAATCCCTCTACACCCGATCAAACCACGCCTGACCTATCTGTCGGCTTCCAATCTCCTAAAATCCTTCTTCCGAATCTACCCCCTTGCCTGATCTCCAAGCCCGACCGAATCCCTGCCTGGCTGAACTCCCTATATATATATGGTTCTTGCTCCAAGCCAAACAAATACCTATCAACCATCCGCAATAGTTTATCAAGGTGGACAAATATGAAAATCACTTTAGCTCATAAAGAACTAATGTATGATCGAGAATATCACTAGGATTCATTTTCAAACAGTCTCTTGTCAGTAAAGATATGATACATGTCCTTTAACCGGTGGTATTGCCGTCAAATGACACCGCAGGTAAACAGTAATGACCGGTGCCCTCTGAACCATGTGGTTTGCCACCAAATGACACTTCTAAATTACGATCATGGCCAGAGCCCACATGCTCCCCAATGACATCAAATCCTTGATATATGAATCAATATGATTTGATCGATAGGGCACAAAGCCCTCTGTTAGCTAAGGTGGATTCAAATTTGTCCCCTTAGACAAATATTTTTCCCCCAGGTCTACAAGGTTCCCTTGGACGAAGCAACCAATGGCTGCCGACAAGGATCCTTTTGTTAGGTTGGTTTGACTACTCCTCTGACTAAGTTGACCAGAGACCATGATGGCTAGAGACGATTAAATCATGGGATCTTGATTAGGTCCATCATCCATTCCCCCACAATCCACTTTAAGTGCAAGGTGGTAAATTTTCAATTTTAAATATCAAATTCTCAAATATCAAACCCATGTTGATATTATAAGCCAAATACCAGGTATTTCTACATATATGATTGACGATTAGCCTTAATCAAAAGTTCTCTCTTGTTATCGGGAGGAGTAACTAACTATAGGGGCTTGCGCCTATAGGAAAGCAAAACTCAGATCATAAAGTCCTTACAAAATAAGAGAAAAATCTCTGGGTATTGACTTATCTACAAACCCAATCTGACTTCTTAAAATTTACCCAAGAACTTAATTTGTTAAAACTCCCAAAAAGGCCAGGGGAGGCCAGGGCGCAAAATTTTTAGAGCCCATAGATTTCTGGCGACTTCGCTGGGGTTTGATTTTTCTTTTCATCTTTGACTAATCATCTATGGTGCTATAGTAGCAACTAAATCAACATGAGCTAAAAATTCCAAATTTATCATAATGATCATTTAACAAACCAGATTTCTAAATATTCTAAAAATGATCATTCATAAATCCACTGAAAATTTTATTAAGCAGGTTTTTAAATTTTATTTTAATTTCTTGCTTGTATTATTTTATTTTGTTCTGTGTAGTCTCTCTATTTTGAAAGTGTGGAGTATGCATTAGACGCTGATTACTAACCCTTACCTTTTATTTATGCAGATAGATCTGTAGAACACTTTTTTTACTATCTAGCTAGGACATGGTACCAGCAACAAGTTGGCAAAATACGATCATCAACACTAGGAACACTAGAGCCACCATCTAATTTGGTGGGCTACAATTCCCCGCAGCTACTGCAATGGCTGTTGCCATTCCTATGAATGGCATGGACTATGAAGGGCTTGCAAGGAGGCCCCACCTTGCTGAAACCTCTACATGCCGCATGTATCTGCCAGCGTCATGAGCTGCTACTGTCAAAAATCCTCGCAGGAGGATCTTTATATTTAAAAGGCTGTCACAACCAGAAACCATAATTACCAAAAGGATTGTGGCTGGTGGAAAAATCTTAGTGGTGATTACTGACACCACTACTTTACCTACCAGGTTATCTGCACCTGAAAAGCTTGATGCTGAAGCCTTCTCATATGGTGGAAGGCTCACGAGGAGACAAAGGAGAAAGAAGAACACTGAGCTCCGAGCTCAGCAACAACTACCTATCCACCCCTCAAACTTGCTAGCCCAATAGCCAGAAGTAGCCATGCCTACCCGTAATGGGTTCGCGGACTTGAAATGGGTGAAGAGGTATAGCTGATGATGTAGACAAGGGGGGGGGGGGGTTTCAACACAAGTTGAGTTTTTCTTGTAATTTCTTGCCTTGTGTCTTTTCATCTTCCCCCTCTCCTTCTCTTCATTA